TGTGACTACCGCGAAATCAAAGTGTTTTGGTTGCGGTAAATCTGGACATTTAATTCGTAATTGTCCTGACAAAGTTGCAGAAAAGGAAGTAAACGCAGTGAATGGGAGTATTGAAGGTGATGGTAACGTGGATGGGGTTGCTAACACTGCGTTAGTTGGGGAGGCGGCGGCTGAGGGTATTCCCGGTGAGAGTGTTGTTGCGTCTACTTCACTGCGCTGTGAGCATTCGGAGTCGGGCACGGTGCCCATTAAAATGTGTGTAGAGGCTAGCGTTGAGGATGTGCCGAGTGTGGCACCGAGTTCTGAAAATAATCATGTTGCGCAAACAGGAAGTGAGAGTAACTATTTTACAAAACGAATGTGTAAAGGAAAGTGTGGAGAAAGAACATTTGTTTAAAATGCCGTCCAACAAAAGGAAAATAATTGAAAAAATGGTTGATGCCAAAATAAGTAAAACGAGTGAAATGCAAGAAAACATGGATCAAGATACAGAAAGCGATGATGGGTCTTCTGACTCCAGTGTGACACTTTCTCAGGGGGAGTTTAGTGGTCGGGAATATGGACTTGAGGATATTAAATTATTCCTCAGATCAACAAAAAATAAAAGAGGAGTGAGTGTGAAGGAATATTTTCCTGATGTTAAACAGTTCGCCGAAAAGGCAAAAACCCTAATGGCAGAGAGTTGCTTTACAAATAAAGAAGTCTATAGACTTAAGAAAATTGTGAGGAATCTTAATACTGCTTTAATCAATGATGTCAGTTAAATGTAAAAATAAAATGGCTGATGTGTTGTGGCTTGTTGGGTGGGGTTTCTTTTCCTTATTATTTTTTATGAGTGAAGTGCATGTAGCAACTTTGAATGTTAATGGGGCAAGAGACTCTGGAAAAAGAGCTACAATATATGAAGTAATTAGGCAAAACAATTTTGATGTTGTTTTATTACAAGAAACTCATAGCGATTTAAAAAATGCTGTTGACTGGAAAAGGGAGTTTGATGGCATCACTGTGTTAAGCCATAACACTTCATTAAGTGGGGGAGTAGCCATTTTATTTGCAAAGAATTTTAGTCCCATATCTTATGATGTTGATGAGATAATAAAAGGAAGGCTTTTAAAAGTTAGAGCTGTTATTGAAAGTTATGTGTTTATTTTTATTTGTGTATATGTTCCAACTACACCTGTCGAAAGAATGGCTTTTTTAGACATATTATGCTCAACTCTACATAACTGTTGTTCTGAAGACTTCTTGTTCCTTGGTGGTGATTTCAATTGTACGGAGAATAATATAGATCGGAATCACATTGAGCCTCATTTGGCTTCACGTAAACGCTTAATTCATATTATAAAAAAGTATGATTTATGTGATGTTTGGAGATCTTTAAATGGAAATGAAAGACAGTACACTTGAGTACACACGCGTGATAGGGCTATGTCTTTAGCTAGGTTGGACAGATTTTACAGTTTTAATCACCATCTTAGTATTTTCAACAAATGTTATATAACACCAGTAAGTTTTTCGGATCACAGTATGGTGCACTGTAAGCTTATTTTGAGCTCAATAAAACCAAAAAGTGCATATTGGCATTTTAATACCAATTTGTTAAGTGATGGTTTTTTTAAGGAGTCATTTAAGTACTTCTGGGATGTTTACAGGAAAAAGAAGTCTTCTTTTTATTCATTGCAACAGTGGTGGGATGTTGGTAAGATACAAATAAGGCAGTTTACACAACAGTATACTCACAACGTTACTAAGGAGTTGACTCGTTCATTACAGCTTTTGGAGGGAGAGATAATTGAATCTCAAAATTTGGCAAATTCTACAGGAAAGGAAGTTTATTTGGAAGCCTGTTCAAGGAAGAAAGCTCAGTTAGCTGATCTGCTGGGGCATAAGATACAGGGGGCTCTGGTCCGTTCACGTTTCCAGAGCATTGATCAGATGGATGCACCGTCCCAATATTTTTTCAATTTGGAAAAAAAGAATGGTCAGAAAAGGTTTATTCATGGTTTGCGCTCCGAAGATGGAGTGTTATTGACAGATCTGGCCAGTATTCGGGGAAGAGCAGTTAATTTTTTTCAAAATTTGTATAGGAGCGAGCTTAAGTCAGAGTGTGGCGTTGACAATGTTTTCCTTGACAATTTACCAAAGCTGTCAGAGGAAGTCAACGATGAGCTCGAAGGTGTGCTGACCCTAGAAGAGCTATATAAGGCCCTGCAAACCATGAAGTCTGGGAGTGCTCCAGGAATGGATGGCATCCCAGTTGACTTCTACAAGGTTTTTTGGTTGGAAATGGGTGTAGATCTGCTGGAGGTACTCAAGGACAGCTTGTCGAAGGGTGGGTTGCCATTGAGTTGCCGAAGAGCGGTGATCACTCTAATTCCAAAAAAGGGGGACCTGACTGATATTAAGAACTGGCGCCCTGTCTCGCTTCTCTGCAGTGATTATAAAATTCTTTCTAAAGCATTGAGTACCAGACTGGCTGGAGTATTGGGATGGGTTATCCATCCAGATCAGACGTACTGTGTCCCTAGTAGATCAATAGTTGATAATATTTCTTTGATTCAAGATATTTTTCATGTCTCAAAGTTGTTAAATTTAGACTGTGGCTTGATATCCTTGGATCAGGAGAAGGCTTTTGACCGAGTGGAGCACTCATATTTGTGGAGTACGCTAACAGCTTTTGGTTTTAGTAAAACTTTTATAGACATGATTAGAGCACTCTATTGTGACGTTGAGAGTATGCTGAAAATAAATGGTGGCTTATGTGCTCCCTTTCAGGTTCTCAGGGGTATCAGACAAGGTTGTTCCTTGTCTGGAATGTTGTATTCCTTGGCTATTGAGCCATTGCTACAGCAGATAAGGAGCCAATTAAGTGGGTTGTTTTTACCAGTTTGTAATAAAAAGTTTTGTTTGTCAGCCTATGCCGATGATATTGTGGTGATGATCAACAGACAAAGTGATGTGCAAATTTTATATAATTTATTAGAAGAATTCAGACTGTTGTCATCCGCAAAGGTTAATTGGAAAAAAAGTTATGCTTTAATATTGGGACAATGGGCTGATGGAAAACCTTGCCTTCCGGATGGGATGGTTTGGGAAAATGGAGGTATAAAATATCTTGGAGTTTATCTAGGGGATGACGGTGTGTTACAAAAAAATTGGGAGGGGTTGATGGAAAAAATTAAAGGGCGTTTGGAAAAGTGGAAATGGTTATTGCCGAATATGTCTTATAGGGGGCGAACTCTCATTGTCAACAATTTAGTGGCATCTTCACTTTGGCATAAGTTGGCATGTGTAGACCCTTCTCCACAGTTTTTAATGGAAGCTCAAGCTGCTCTGGTGAACTTTTTTTGGGATAAACTACATTGGCTCCCAAAGAGTGTTTTATACCTCCCCAAAGATGAAGGTGGGCAAGGTTTGATTCACTTACAAAGTAGATTGGCTGCCTTTCGATTACAGTTTTTAAAAAGGCTACTTGATGGTTCTAAAGATTTCAGTTGGCGTGCTGTGAGTTGTACGATTTTGCACACTATAGGGGGGTTTGGACTGGACAGATCCCTCTTTTTAATGGATCCAACTAAACTGGATTTATCGGAACTACCTGCCTTCTATCGGAATCTCTTCAAGGTATGGAGCTTTTTTCGTGTTTATAAGACTGAGAACTTCTTTTCTCTCCACTGGCTATTGCAGGAGCCATTGATACTTGGGGCCCGTTTGGACATTGCCACTCAATGTCATTTGCCGGGGTTCTGCAACATCTTTTTGCAAGCCAAGATCTTTACGTTGGGACATTTGGTGGCTTTAACCGGGCCTCAATTTGAGAATGTGGACGCCGTTTCTGAACAATTAGGAATCAGATCTGTTCGTTTATTAACGCGGTTTTTGGTCAAACTTAAAGACTGTCTTACAGGTGAAGAAGAACTTTTGTTAAAAGATTTTTTTAAAGGGGTTTGTACTCCTGATGTTGATGACCCCTTTCCATGTTTGATTATTCAACCCAATCTTGAAGAGGGTACAGGTTTTTTTCTGAAACCAGGTGAAACTTTGCTTTTAGTATTTTTGTCTAGTGAAGGAAAAAAATTGTATAGAGCCTGTGTGTTGCTTTTTAACAAGAACATGTTAGAAAAGAGAACTAATACACCATGGTGTTCTGTTTTTAAGCTGAAGAATGATGTAAAACCTGAATGGAGATCTTTATATAAGCCACCATTGTCTAAAAGGTTTGGTGATCTACAATGGAGAATTCTCCATGGTGCCATTGCTGTAAATTCTTTTATTTCAAAGTTGAATCCTGAAGTTAATCCTGCTTGCCCTTTCTGTCCTCAAAAGGAGACTGTTTTTCATGCTTTTATGGATTGTTTTAGACTAGAACCTTTGTTTGTGAGACTAGGAGAATTGTTTTGCAGGCTTGATGAAACCTTTTGTATGGAGACCTTCATTTTGGGTGTTAAGTACTTTCAGAAAAATCGTTTCACTTGTCAATTGTTGAATTTCATCTTAGGGCAAGCAAAAATGGCTATTTATATTAGCAGGAAAAATAGAGTGGAACAAGAGGGTAGCGATGATGTAAATGTTTGTTTTGTAAATTTGGTCAAATCAAGAGTTTTGATTGATTTTAGGTTTTACAAAACTATGAGTGATCTCTCAATTTTTGATCTGGTATGGTGCAGTCATGGTGCTTTATGTACAGTTTATGAAGGTGATTTGGCTTTTTCTTTCTGATTTGTTTTTTAAAAGTGGTAAATATGGTGAAGAGTTTTTGTAAATATTTATTGTGAAGAGTTACTGTTGAAAATTGTAATTAAAGTTTTTTCAAAATTCAAATTCTCTCTCTCTCTCTCTCTCTCTCTCTCTGCTAATGTAGGTTAAGCTGGTGTTATATGACAGATGAAGGTTGTTCTGATGTGACTTCAGCTCTGAAATCAAACCCGTCACACCTGAGAGAGCTGAACCTGAGTGTGAATAAACTAGGAGACTCTGGAGTGAAAAACCTCAGTGATCTACTGATGAACCCACAATTCAAGCTGGAGAAACTACAGTTAGTGTCATTATACTGTACATCAATTACAGTGTGACTGAAGTTTATTTATTTGAAGACAGCAGGGCTTATGTTTCATTGGTTATAGCAGTGCACTTTCTGGGTTTCCCTGTTGCTCACATTTTTATGTTTTTTATCTAGTTTGTAGAGTGTAGATAGTAATTGTTTAATTCCCAACATATGATACAATGTACTGATTGTGTACACACAGAAATCTGCCTTTTCAACAGAGAATAAAGAAGAGAGACGTCTTTTTAAAAATGAAAGAGAAGAAACAGTGTCTTCCAGCGCACAGAACTAGTGTGACTGGGTTTTAAAACAGACAATTGGAAACTAAATGCTGCTGTAGCTCTTCAATAAGATGATCATCATAGATGTGAACTATTGTTATTTCTCTGTCTTCAGTCTGTATAGATGCAGTATTACAGAGAAACAGAGTCTCATCCTGACTTCAGCTCTGAAATCAAACCCGTCACACCTGAGAGAGCTGGACCTGAGCGTGAATAAACTAGGAAACTCAGGAGTGAAGCACTTATGTGCCGTACTGAAGGATTCACACTGTAAACTGGAGAGATTGAGGTCAGTCACATTCACATACAAGAATCAAAACGCTTAAAATCACTTCAACTGTTTAAACTAAAACACATTATACTCAATATCTGACAGTGAGTCTGAGTTTACATTATATCTGTGTAAAATTCTTCACATTCAAGATTTGTTTGTAAGATAATCTCTCTTCCTCTGTTTGTGTCTCTCTAGTCTACGGTACTGTGGCATTACAGATGTTTCTTCTTTAACTCAGTCTTTGACAAACTCAAAAGCACTGCAGTTTTTAAAAGAGCTTGATCTGAGAGGTAATAAGATCGGAGATTCAAAGCAGCGGCTCAGAGACGAGCTACGAGACTCAAACTGTGTCCTGAGGTGAGGAAACATCACTGAGATATTAAAGACATCTTCATTTACCTCTGATATGTGAACAATACTTTAAAACATTCGTGAAAGGAAATTATCATTAAGATTTGTTGCAACAAAGGGTTTGTGTGAGAACAAAATGTGAAGTTATTGAAATGTCGAACACAAAGGAGGAACGAGAAGAAAAGCTCACTGTCACAGCTTTATACATCAACACCTGCTTTATGAACTGTGTCAGTAGAAGTGAATCATTTGAGTGTGAAACAGACTTGGTCAGATTGTAGGAAACGCTGCACTCCTGCTAAAATCAGTGCAGTTCCAGCTTCAGCTCACAGCGTCCAGCTCACATGAGCAATGTCTCTGTCTCTAGTGTGTTTTTACTGTGACAAGCAACATGTCACACTACTCGACACTTACTTTACTCTCAGTTATTTACTAAGAGCCTACAAACATGTTTAAACTAGAGGACAAACGGCTTTAACTAAAGGTTTGTGTTTAACTCAAAATAGCATTAGGATTTGCTCGCTGTGGTTTGTTCCATACGCCGTACACTCATTAGTTTCTCCTTTACAGAGACTCAATAGGAGTCACACCGACACACACAGACACACATGAACATGATTCAGGCTTTACATCTATTATATTTAAAAACACAAATATCTCTATCCAATATCTTGTGAAGTCAGTAATTAATCTGATTACAGGAATTCAATTTAACCTTTTTTACTCAAAAAACAATAATTGAAATATAATAATTTGCACTTTGTTCCTCTGAACACTGATTGTTTTCTCTTCTTTTCCACTTTACAGTGTAGATGAAGATTGATCATAAAACGTCAGTGGATTTACATCCAGGTTTAAATCTGTGAGACGGAGATGATAGGAGCAGAAACTATCAGGTGATCCACAGAAGAGTCTCACTGCTGTCTATGAGGAGAAATACATGTGTAAATGTGTTTCATACAGGTGGAAGAGACTCAGACTTCACTATTAAATAAAGCAGCGTGTGTGTTAGCATGCGTATTAGAAACATGTGATATTGAATGATTAATGTTGGTTTATTATTCAGCCAAATGATGGTTTAGTTGTAATTAAAGGTGGAACAGAGGAAGAAGCTCAGATGAGTGTCAGCAGAAATCTTCACTATCAGGCCTGCAAATATAATAATGTTTACACTAAACTCATAATTATTCCAATATTTCTAATCATCAATGTGATTGTCAAGTAAAGTTTACATGAAACTTTTAAACATTTGCATAATCTCTAACATTTTATAAACAGAATATGTTTTTTATTGTTTTATTGTATATGAAGTTAGTTTAGTTTAGTGTGTGTGTGTGTTTGTGATGCACAGATGTACAGTATATTGTGTTTGTTCTGTGGATGAAGTCTCTTCTCCTCTACAGACCAACTAAACATTTTCCCCAGTTAACAGCATGTGTGTGTGTTTCACTCACTCCTCAGATAGCAGACGGATGTGGGCCACTTCAGGCGATGATGCGGCACTGCAGGCCATCTTATGGCCCCGACAAAATGTGTGTGATCCTGAAGTGGCCTAAATGTAAAATGGCAAATATGGCCCAAATATTTTAAATCACATGTGGGCCTTTTTAGGCTAAGATGCGGCACTCATGGCAATGTGTAATCTGAATGTGGGCCTAAAGTGGCCCGTATGATAAATAATGAAATGGCAATGTAAATGTAAAAAAGAAAGGTGATAGACGTCTGTCAGCAAAAAGGCCCTAACCGAAATATGAGTCAAGCCGGAAACACAGATCCTCGCTCCATGACTGCACAGCGAGGGATGACGTCTGGAAAAAAAATGCACAAAACCACACTTTCCTCACTTTCCTACTTTGTTGTGAACTCTGACCTTGTGCTTCTCTTTCTGCTGCTGCTTTAGAGGGGAAGAAGATCTGTTCAGGTGACGGTGCGAATACCTACAGTATGTTGGCTATATCTGCTCATAGGGATAAACTCCATCTTTATCAGGGTTTATTATATATTAATAATTAATAATTGTATATTATTAACTCAGTCATTCATTCATGAATAACACAAGCACTTTGTAATTACTTTAAAATGTTCAGAATTCACTTTAAAGAGGCAGAAGCTGTTATTGCTTAGATTGTTTTTCTCTCGTAAAGAGAATTGTTCTTTAGCGGTTAATGAAACTACTTTCTATAAATAAAAAGGGATCACTTGCACTTCAGCCTAGTTGGTGCTCACAGAACAGGACACAAAAATCTGGGAAGGAAACCCAAGGTCTAGCTAGGACCAAGGAGCAGGACCGGGGCACACAACATTTTAAATGATTTTAATAAATGACGTTTCGACATCCATGCGGTGTCTTCAGAGTCAAACAGTCAACGATGTACAGAATTTAAAGAGTTAAAGTTCAAGGTATTGGCCACTGGCCTGAGTGGGTATGATACATCAATTAACCAATCCTATACAAGCACTCAGGACTAGACAGAAAAATGCACACAAAAAAGGTTAAATGTGATTTATCCTCTTATTTAGGAGACACATCTGACATATTGAGACTTTAAATTTGTTTGAATGTGACTTTGATTTCATGCTGGCAAGATGGGGGGGGGGGGGGGGGGGGGCAACTTGGCATGACAATCCTACAAACGGAGCTTGAGAAAAGTAGTTTTAAGTTTTAGAGCCAGGTGGCGCCATTTCATGTTGCATTTGTCTTGTGTAGTCAGTAGATGAAGGTCGAGCAGAAACACTGTGAGATGAATGATCGTGCTGAATTTATTACAAAGTAATAATCTTAATCAAATTCTTAAATGTAAATAAATATTAATAATTCCACCTTACACAATTCTCAACTTTTTGTAAATGGTCTCTCCTGATATAACGTTTTATTAATAATTTTATAAGAAATTCTTAATGTATTCTTAATAAAACTTTAATGTCGGATCCAATCCTCCATGTAAATCCAAATGGCTTAAACCTCATTGTATGCTGTATCTTGGCACAGCATTTGGACATATTGTCACAGTTTAGTGTGGAATGAAGACAGGCTGAGGCTGACGCAAAGCTCCAATTCAAAACATTTACTCAAAAACTCCAAACAGGTACAAGCAAGGCTGGCTGAAGATTACACACACTATCCATGAAACATAATCAAGAACCGACAAGCACAGACTGAAACAGAGATCTAAATAGAGATACAAAATGAACACTAACAAGGTGACGACAGTGACACAGATGAACAGGTGGATGATTGAGGGAGTGAGTTCAGGTGTGGAGACAAGAGGATGCTGGGAAGTGTAGTGAAGATGACGAAGACAGAATGGTGCAGACGAGGACTGTGACACATATACTGTAAATATGAATAATAATTGTTTATTTTACTTTATTCAGTAATTTACAAAATGATTATAGATGTTATCCTGTAAATGCAGACATTAGTAGATATATTCATGCTGTTTGTGATAAATGCACATTTTTGTATCATATCATTTGAAGATATTAAACATTATTTTTTGTATTGCACATTTTTCAATTTCTTTTTCGACTCACTTTAAAATAGACATGACAAAATTTTAATTTAGAACCTTGTTAAAAAAATACATTTTTCTTTGTTTTCAAAATCCTTATTTTTCTAAACAACTAAATTATATTATTATTCTTTTGGTAAAGTTTTATATTCATAAAACAAAAATAACTCAAAAGAAACCCTCATCTATTACCTTTTATAATTTTGATCCTACAGTTTACACTCACAGAAACTCTTTAAACACAAGATCACAAAACAAAAAGCTTATAAGAACAATAAAAAATGTAAAGCTTTTCAAATGCAATCTTCAAAAACTCAACAGTAAATGTCCAGCAGAGGGAGCAGTTTTGCCACGGCCGTCAGAAGCTGGACAATCTATTGTTGAACTAAACTGAACTTTAAATCAAGACCAATCAACATTTCCCCAAATGCTGTTAGGAAATTGTGTGCATTTTCTGTTAAAGACACACTGGAGTTCTGTGACGTGTGCGAAAGGAAATCCAGTTGAGAAAAGGTGGAGTTTAAGCGGCTCATGAGCATCAATTGTCAAAGACGTTTGACATGTCAGATTTGTAATAGCCATCATCTTACAGCACTTCATATTAAAAGAAAGGAAAATCAAATGAATCAAAAGATGTCCAGTGCTTTAGTTTCCATGGACCGGCTCAAAGGACTGTGCAGTTCCAGTAAAAGCAAAGTTACAAAAGAAGGGAAATAAAACTGAACTGTTTTGTTTTTTGTTCTCAGCGACTCGGCATCATTCTGCTCTGAGAACTGATGAGAGAAGTGAATGATCCTGGAAGAAGATGGATGGACTTTAAAAACAGCGGGTCAGGAAAAAACAGTTTCTAGACACACAATCTCTGGACATGAAGTCACTGCACTGAAGGAGACACTTACCTGACATTACGTCACAGTTTAAAGTCCACAGATGAAGAAGAGGCAAACGGTTCCAATATCAATGCATTTAATAAGCAACACATTCTCACCCCAAGGCGTCACCTTTGACCATGCTTCAATATTAGACGTTTTAGGCGCCCTTTAGCGTCACTTACATGACGCGATCCTACGGCGTCATCTTAAGGCCAATTTATACTTCTGCGTAGGATGCGCGCAGTAGGTACGGCGTAGCATACGCACAGACGCGTCCCATTGCGCGTACCCTTCGCCGTCGCCTGACGCGCACCTCCTCAAAAATGTAACTACACGTCGCGACGACGCAGACCGCAAGATCGGTGATTGGTCGGCTTGGTAGCATCGCATTTTCTCCTACGCATTTCAGCACGTACCTTCTCACGCATTTCAATGATTTCCACACGTACCATCTCCTCCGACGTCTTCTCTCATTTCTGCCTTTCAGTTTTAGTAATTTCACTAAAGTGAACTGTTTTTCCACCTCAATAAGCTCCAACTCCAACATGATCCACTCTCTTTCAATCGCTATTGCTTGTAGTAACCTAGCCGCGAGGAATCTAAACACAGTGGAACATTAAAACTCTCCGCCGCCAACTAGCGTTTCGGAGCAGTACTGCAGAGCAACAAGACCTGAACGCAGAAGTATAAATGCTCACAACGGCGTCGCCTACGTGCGTAGCCAACGCCGCACATTACGGCGTACCCTCGACGCAGAAGTATAAATTGGCCTTTACTGACGCTAAAGGAAAGCGTCAGTTAGAGGACGCGGTTAGGTTTAGGTATGGGGTGGGGGTAGGGTAGGGTACACGCGATCCTAGGGCGTCATATAACTGATATAACTGAATGTGAGGTAGAAGCGTGCTTTCGGAGCGTGTGATTGGCTGAATGTGAGGTAGAAGCGTGCTTTCGGAGCGTGTGATTGGCTGAATGTGAGGTAGAAGCGTGCTTTCGGAGCGTGTGATTGGCTGAATGTGAGGTAGAAGTGTGCTTTCGGAGCGTGTGATTGGCTGAATGTGAGGTAGAAGTGTGCTTTCGGAGCGTGTGATTGGCTGAATGTGAGGTAGAAGCGTGCTTTCGGAGCGTGTGATTGGCTGAATGTGAGGTAGAAGTGTGCTTTCGGAGCGTGTGATTGGCTGAATGTGAGGTAGAAGTGTGCTTTCGGAGCGTGTGATTGGCTGAATGTGAGGTAGAAGTGTGCTTTCGGAGCGTGTGATTGGCTGAATGTGAGGTAGAAGCGTGCTTTCGGAGCGTGTGATTGGCTGAATGTGAGGTAGAAGCGTGCTTTCGGAGCGCGTGATTGGCTGAATGTGAGGTAGAAGCGTGCTTTCGGAGCGTGTGATTGGCTGAATGTGAGGTAGAAGCGTGCTTTCGGAGCGTGTGATTGGCTGAATGTGAGGTAGAAGCCTGCTTTCGGAGCGTGTGATTGGCTGAATGTGAGGTAGAAGCGTGCTTTCGGAGCGTGTGATTGGCTGAATGTGAGGTAGAAGCGTGCTTTCGGAGCGTGTGATTGGCTGAATGTGAGGTAGAAGCGTGCTTTCGGAGCGTGTGATTGGCTGAATGTGAGGTAGAAGCGTGCTTTCGGAGCGCGTGATTGGCTGAATGTGAGGTAGAAGCGTGCTTTCGGAGCGTGTGATTGCCTGAATGTGAGGTAGAAGCGTGCTTTCGGAGCGTGTGATTGGCTGAATGTGAGGTAGAAGCCTGCTTTCGGAGCGTGTGATTGGCTGAATGTGAGGTAGAAGCGTGTGATTGGCTGAATGTGAGGTAGAAGCGTGCTTTCGGAGCGTGTGATTGGCTGAATGTGAGGTAGAAGCGTGCTTTCGGAGCGTGTGATTGGCTGAATGTGAGGTAGAAGCGTGCTTTCGGAGCGTGTGATTGGCTGAATGTGAGGTAGAAGCCTGCTTTCGGAGCGTGTGATTGGCTGAATGTGAGGTAGAAGCGTGCTTTCGGAGCGTGTGATTGGCTGAATGTGAGGTAGAAGCCTGCTTTCGGAGCGTGTGATTGGC